AATCCTTGGGTTTGGATGGAGTGAGAACAAGATCTCGATCTCTAAGTGTATTTGCCCTTAGGCTTCTTTAGATCGGGCGATTATGGCCTCTAAAGGATGGCTACTATTCCCCTCTTTTGGCTTAAAATACTTAGTGAAAATTTCTTTATGCCTTAGCATATATTTTTTTACCTATTGTGTTTTTTGAGGGTTTGATGTCGATTGAAACCCTTCTGCTTTTTGTGCCTTAGCACGTTTGTGTTAAGATAATTTGATACCTCTTAAGGTTTTTTGAGGGCTAATTTTATCGAATCCTTTTGATTATTTGCCGATGGTAGCCTTTTTTAACCGGTTTTTCAAAGAATTTGAAGGCTTATCATAATTGCAGGATTCAGATGTAATGACCCAGCCAGTCGTTACATGAGTTACCGCTCCGTTTCCCCCATTTTTGCTTCTTATTGTCTTGTTCAACTGTATTATGTGATATCGGGTTGGTTGGTTTGGGTTCGGAGAGCTTTTGGAAAAGAATGAGACACTTAGTCTCTTTTGAGTCAGCTTAGGTTGAAAAAGTCAATCGGACATTGACTTATGTGAAAAAGGGCTCGGATGTGAATTCTGATGCTTCGGTTAGCTTCAAGAGGTGATTTGGTACTTAGGAGCGTGATCGGAATGTGTTTTAGGGGTCCGTAGTAGACTTAGGCTTGAATTGGTGAAATTAGAATTTTGGTGTTTTCCGGTTGATAGGTGAGATTTTGATATAGGGGTCAGAATGGAATTTTGGAAGTTGGAGAAAGTCCGTTGAGCTATTTGTGATGTGTGTGCAAAGTTTCAGGTCATTTGGAGGTGGCTTGATAGACTTTTTGATCGTTTGCGGAATTTGGAAGATTTAGAGTTCTTATGCTTGAATCCGTGGTTAAATTGATGTTTTGATGTTGTCTTAGGTGTTTTGAAGATTGGTATAAGTTTGGAATGTGGTATATGACTTGTTCGTACTTTTGGTTGAGGTCCCGGGGGCCTCGGGATGATTTCGTATTGTTGACGGGAGGTTTTGAGTTGGAATTGGAAGTTGAAGTGCTAAGTTCCTATCATAACCGCACCTGCAGCTTGGGGAATGTAGGTGCGAGCCCGCAAAAACGGAAGTGAAGTTGCAGACGCGGACAAGAGAGGGAAAGGATAGAGCCGCAAAAGCGGAACTTTGGGCGCACCTGCGCCATCGCAGGTATGGTGGCTGGGCGGATAAGTGAAATCCGCAGATGCGCACCTTGGACCGTAGGTGTGATAAGTGGACCGCATATGCGGTTTTGCTGTGTCAGAACATATATATTTCACCCTTCGTGAATTTGAGTTATTTTTCATAACGTTTCAAACGGGAAGAAGCTTTAGGGAGCAAATTCAAGGGAGGATTCAAGAGTGTTTCTTAGAGGTAAGGTCCTTGGTCCCTAAACTCATTTTTATGATGATTTTTAAGGTTGTAAGCTTGAAATCTATGGGAAAATCAGTAGCAAATTGGGGGTTAGGGCTTGAAAAATTGGAGACCTAAAATTAGGGATTTGAGGGGTCATTTGTGGTTTGATTTTAGTACTTTTGGTATGAATGAACTCGTGGGGGAATAAGATTTCCGTTGATGTAAATTTTGTCGGATTCCGAGATGTGGGCCCGGGAGTCGGGTTTTGACCAATTTCGAGATTTTGATGTAATTTGATTATTTTTGAGTGGGCTTTGTTTTCTTAGCATATTTTGATGGTTATATACTGATTTTGGTTAGATTCGGGGCATTTGGAGGCTGAATCGAGAGGAAAAGGCATCGCATGCTAGAGTTTGGCTTGGCTTGAGGTAAGTAACACTTCCAAACTTGGTTCTGAGTGTTCGAAACCCCGCACTGTGTGTTCTATGATTACTATTGAGGTGACGCAATGCCAAGTGACGGGCGTGTGGGCGTGCACCATGAGAAAGGCGGCCTGGATCATTCCATGGCACCGCCTAGGGACTCTTTTATGTTGATATCTGTATTGTAATTATGTGATTAAGTTAATAAGTTACAAATCATGGTAATTATCATGTTAAGGCTTCACTCCAACATTTTTGAAACCCGAGAGGTCATTTCTTGCTGATTTATAATCTGTACTTAGTCCTGTTCATGCATGTTATATCATGCCTCAGTCTCTATTATTGCTACTTGACATATCATATCATTGTTCGGGCTTGTAGCATAACATCTTAGCCCGTGTGTGTGAGACTGGAGAGTATTGACTGAGTGAGGCAGAGAGCCGGATATTGATCGATAGTATAGGATCGGGCTGCACGCCGCAGCGAGATATTAAACAAGCCTTCGTTGGTTTTGTTATAGCGCTTGAGGTAATGAGAGAAGCCCCTCCGGAATCTTTACACCCCCAGTGAGTGTAGTTGATGATATTGAGGGATGGATCTTCCCTAGACATGGATCTTGTCCGAAGTATTGGTATGGAGGTGGATCTTCTCCATGAGGTTGGATTGGCCTGTTTTTCCTTGGTACTGAGTGACTTATATTCTATGATGTATATACATTCTGGGATGGATCTTTCCTGGGCTGAGTGGGCCGTATACAGTACTGAGTGGTTGAGCACTGTGAGTGGAAGTATTATACGTAACATCGATCATACTATATGTGCATTGGTACTTAAAGGTTTCTAAACTTTATCCTCTGTGTTGTTCATACCGTGTTTAATCACTACTGAGAATTTACTTGAACTGTAAGCCTGTCTACATTTCTATACAATTAACTGTTGCAACCTGTTGAAGTTTGGTTCGTCACTACCGTCAGTCCATAGTTTGGACTTGTTACTTACTGAGTTGGTATACTCACGTTACCCCCTGCACCCCTGTGTACAGATCCAGATTTCGCGGGGCACGGTAGCGGCTGTTGATCTTGCTAGTTGGAGACTTTCTTTGGAGATTGTGAGGTAGCTGCTTAGCGATCGCAGTTCCGCCTTCTCCTTTCCTTATCTTCCTTTGGTTTATATATTTTGGATATTCTCAGAATGTGTTGGTCATCTTATTTTGAACAGTTGTATTAGTTTTGGCTCATGACTTAGTGACACCCGAGGTTGGGATTGTGTTTTTTTCTGCCGGATTTTGGATTTCTACTTTTATCTCATTGAATTTCTGTTAAAACTATGTTTTTCCTTAAGTTTTATTTGAAAAAAATGGAGTATTTTGAAATAAGTGGCTGGCCTAGTATCACGATAGGCGCCATCATGACATGGTTAGATTTTGGGTTGTGACATGTTGGTATCAAAGCCTAGGTTACATAGGTCTCACGGGTCATGAACAGGTTTAGTAGAGTCTCACGGATCGGTACAGAGACATCTATATTTATCCTGGGGAGGCTGATGAACCTTTAGGAAAACTTCATATTCTTGAATTCTTGTCATGCAAATCTGTTGATCCGAGTACTAAATTTCTGTTATTCTATTCTCTCACAGATAGTGAGGATACGTGCTACCGATCAGGATGGACGACCACCAGTACCACCAGTTGGGTCCGCTAGAGGTCGAGGACGCGGTCGAGGCCGTGGTAGGTGCAGGGGTGTGGCCCGTATAGCAGCTAGGGAAGCACCTGCAGATCCACCCGCCACCCCAGTTCATGATCAGGCTCCAGCGAGGGATGCTCTAGCAGTACCAGCTCAGGCACCGACTGTGCCTATTGTTATCCCGGGCCTCCAGGAGACTTTGGTTCAGATTCTTACTGTGTGCACCAGTCTTGCTCAGGCAGTTGCAGTTTCTACCATAGCAGCTTCTTCTCAGGCCGGGGGAGGCACTCAGACTCCCGCCGCCCGTACACCCGAGTAGGTTGTTTAGGGACTCCTGACACCGGAGGCACCACCAGCCTAGCCGGTTGCACCTGCTCAGGATTTTGTGGTTCCAATTATGCCTGATGACGAGCATCGTCGATTGGAGAGGTTTGGTAGACTTCAGCCTTTGACTTTCAGTGGTGCATAGGGCGAGGATGCCCAGGGTTTCTTGGATAAGTGTTAGAGGATGTTGCATACAACGAGTATTCTAGAGACTAATGGGGTCTCATTTACTACTTTTCAGTTTTCTGGAGCTGCCTTCACTTGGTGGGAGGCTTATGAGTGGCACATTCTTATTGGTGCACCGCCCCTTACTTGGCATCAGTTCTCCATTCTCTTCTTAGAGAAGTATGTACCACATTCCCGTAGAGAGGAGCTTATAGGCAGTTCGAGCAGCTGCGTTAGGGGGATATGACCGTATTGCAGTATGAGATGAGGTTCTCCGAGTTGGCCTGTCATGCTATCTGGCTAGTTCCCACAGACAGGGAGAGAATCAGGAGGTTCGTTGATGGCTTCAACTATCAACTATGGATTTTTTTGACCAAAGAGAGAGTATTTGGCGCTTCTTATGAGGAAGTGGTTGACATTGCTAGAGAGATCGAGTCAATTCGTTGCCAAGAGCGAGAGGAAAGGGTGGCCAAGAGGCCTCGGGGATCTAGTAGTTTTGGGGTTCTTTTTCGGGAGGCCAGTTTCAGCACGGCAGAGGCCGTTCATTTAGACATGCTCAGCTAGACCGTTCAGGTCACCGTGGTGGGTCATCAAGCCATGGTTCTCACAGCTCACATCAGGGTCACTCGTCTCTCAGTGCCCTTCTAGCTCAGAGTTTGACTCAGGCATCGTCATTTCATGGCTCATTTATGCCTGGTTCTTCTAGTGGACATCTCGATGCTCGGCGCTCCCTTCAGTCCCCACCACCACTTGTTGCGAGGGGTTGTTTCAAGTGTGGAGATTTGGGTCATATCAAGAGGTTCTGTCTAGGGGTGTTCAAAACCGACCTGAAACCGAAAACTGATCCGAAACCGAAGCTTAATGGCTTATTGGTATCGGGTTAACGGTTTAATAGACGGGGAACAGATTGAATTTTTTTTATTAACGACTTATCGATTTGGGNATATATATATATATATATATATATATATATATATATATATATATATATATATATATATAATATAAAAAACCCTTCCACAGAGTTGCAATACTCTGTGTCTACTCTCTAACGCGTAAGACAGAAACCCTAACGCCTAAACCTAACGCCTCTCTCGTCGACCTCCAGTAGTCCAACACCAGCAGTAACCTAATGCCCCTCTCGTCGACTTCTAGCAGTCCAACACCAGCAGTAACCTAACGCCCCTCTCGTCGACTTTCAGCAGTCCAGCACCAACAGGTATCTGTGTTTTTTACCTTGCAATTCATACATTTTTGCTCGCTGTGAATAATCTTGATATACATGTTGATATTTTGGATATGGTGAATGAGAGCTACATTGGTCATACTACTCTTTCTGCTGGAACTTTTATCTCAGATGGGTTGAGCAGGATTCAACTCTTAGATTGGAATGGCCAGCTCTCAATCGCTGAAGTGGTTAATAACGAGCTCAATGTTTTGGTGTTAGACGATTACAAAAAAAAAAGCAGCAGATAAAATGGAGTAGACGAATCTTCAGGCTCATGACATCGTTAACAGAGTTATTTGTGGTACTTGTTGATAAATCTACAGTGAATCGATTTTATGCAGTGAATCACTATTTAATTAATGGAACATTCCCTAGTTATATGACTGAATTTAAGCTGCTTTTGATTGCTAATGTAATATTGCTATCACCTTGGATTTAAGTTCCATAGTGCTTCTAGGCAGAACCGGATTCAAGTACATAGATGTAGTAAACAGTGCACCCATTGTACCTTTATGGATGTGGCGTTAATTTCATATTTCAATGTAAAGGAACAAACAAAAGGGGAAAAGGAGGAAGAAAGGTTAAGATTTCTCACTGTCAAGTTGTTTCGTCTTGTAATATCGATATGAATACTATATTATATATCCCTAATACTCTTTGTTTATCATCTGTCAACCTTTATAAATCCTGATTGAATTCGTCAAGACAGAGAATGATATGAAAGCTCATAGTATTTAAGCGTCATGTTAAGCTTTGGCTAGAGCTGTGCACTCACATGTTCAACATCTCTTGGATGCTTTGCCCTGTATGGTTTGCAAAACGATTTTCGGATGCAAATCATGCTAACATCGGTACCAACAACAAGCTTTAATCGTACAACTATTTTCATTTCATACTTATGTGCTACTGAAGCAAACCAAGATAAATTTCATGATCCCATTCTTTTTTTCAATATCATATTACATTGTATATATTAACTTCTGCATGTTTATAAAGATTGTAAAGCCATTCAATATATTGGCAGAGCGGATGTTGTTGCCTCTCTATTTGATGAACTTCTTCCTTCTATGTTGTTTAAGAAGGTCATTCATAGAACTCTCTCGTAGCTGTTGAGCTTGTTGAGATAGAACAGAAATCTGTCAATCTGCTTTGTAATGCAGTTGTAGTCTATTGCAATGTTGAAATCATATTAGTGAGATTTAATATCTTCAGAAACTATGTGTTAATATAGGTTTTTAATCCTGATGATTTTCTTGTGTTTTTCATGTAATTGAAATAGGAGAAGAAGTAGAGATGGAAGTTGGAACTGGATAATGTGGGACGCAGGAACAGTTGCAGAAAACAAATGTGTATATTTTTAAAATGGACGGTGTTCGTTTTAATACTCTGCTTTGGGTTTGGGATGTGTTGTAGCGTACAATTTAGTGATTTACAAATGTGTTCTGCTTTTTCACTCATTGTTATGTAGGCAGACCAGCAGTTTCGATTTCTACATGTAAACTCAATGTGTAATTTTGATTTTTAAATTTGTATGCTAGACTGTTAGCAAACAATTAATGCACGCAATATAGGTTGAATTAGGCCGATAAACCGTCCGATAACCGCTCGATAAGAGGTAAACCGATACCAATCCGCCCGATATCTTATCGGGTGGCTAGCGGATTAATACATTTAAAAGCTGATAACCATTAAGCCAAACTGTTAAGTCCAATCCGCCCGATAAGCAGCCCTAGTTCTGTCCCCATCTTACGGGTGGTTCATCCTAGTAGAGGAGTCAACCTTTGGCTTCAGCACCAGTTACTTCCCTACCCGCTTAGTCAGCTCGGGGTGGAGGTCAGTCAGCTAGGGGTCGCCCTAGAGGGGGAGGTCGATCAGGTGGTGGTCAGGCCCATTTCTATGTGCTCCCAGCCAGACCAGATGCTATTGCTTCAGATGTTGTGATTACAAGTATTATCTCAGTTTTCCACAGAGACGCCTTTGTTTTATTTGATCCCGGTTCTACCTTTTCTTATGTGTCATCATATTTTGCCCATTATCTGGATATGCCCCGCGAGTCTCTTGTTTCCTCTATTCATGTATCTACTTCGGTAGGTGATACTATTGTCGTGGACCGTGTATATTAGTTGTGTGTAGTGACTATTGGGGGTTTGGATACCTGAGTGGATCTCTTGTTGCTTAGTATGGTTGACTTTGATGTGATATTGGACATGGATTGGTTATCTCCGTGTCATGCTATTCTGGACTATCATGCTAAGACAATGACATTGGCTATGCCAGGGTTGCCATGGATTGAGTGTCGAGGTTCGACCGATTATGCTCCTAGTAGGGTGATTTCATTTTTGAGAGCCCAGTGGATGGTTGAGAAGGTTTGTCTTTCATACTTAGTATTTGTGAGGGATGTCAGTGCAGAGACTCCCAACATTGATTCTGTTCCAGTTGTGAGGGATTTTCCCGTTGTGTTTCCTGTAGACCTGCCGAGTATGCCACCGGATATGGATATTGGTTTTGGTATTGACCTGGTGCCGGGCACTCAGCCTATTTCTATTCCACCATATCGTATGGCACCAGCGGAGCTGAAGGAGTTAAAGGAGCAACTTCAGGAACTCCTTGATAAGGGGTTCATTCGGCCTAGTGTGTCGCCTTGGAGTGCACCTGTTCTATTTGTGAAGAAAAAGAATGGCACGATGAGGATGTGCATTGATTACAGGTAGTTGAACAAAGTAACAATCAAGAACAAGTATCTTTTGCCTCGTATCGATGATTTATTTGACCAGCTTCAGGGAGCGAGAATATTCTCTAGATTGATCTTAGTTTAGGTTATCACTAGTTGAAGATCGGGACTCAGATATTCTTAAGATAGCCTTCAGGACCAGACATGGTCATTATGAGTTCCTTGTTATGTCTTTTGGGCTGACCAATTCCCCAATAGCGTTCATGCTTGTGATGAACAACGTATTTCGGCCTTATCTCGACTCGTTCGTGATTGTTTTCATTGATGATATTCTGGTATACTCGCGTAGTCAGGAGGAGCACGCAGAGCATTTGAGAGTTGTGTTGCAGAGATTGAGGGAGGAGAAGCTTTATGCAATGTTCTCCAAATGTGAGTTTTGGCTCAGTTTGGTGGCTTTCTTGAGGCACATGGTGTCCAGTGAGGGTATTCTGGTTGATTCGAAGAAGATAGAGGCGGTTCAGAGTTTGCCTAGACCGTCCTCAGCTATATAGATTCGCATCTTTCTTGGTTTGGCGGGCTATTACCGCTGGTTTGTTCAGGGATTTTCATCTATAGCATCGCCCTTGACCAAGTTGACTAAGAAGGGTGCTCCATTCATGTGGTCGGACGAGTGTGAGGCAAGCTTTCAAAAGCTCAAGACTGCTTTGACTAGAGCTCTAGTGTTAGTGTTGCCGTTAGATCCAGGTTCTTATACCATGTATTGTGATGCTTCACGAGTTGGTATTGGATGTGTGTTGATGCAGGAGGGTAGAGTGATTGCTTGTGCTTCTCGTCAGTTGAAGCCCCATGAGAAAAACTACCCCATTCATGATTTGGAGTTGGCTGCCATTGTCCACGCATTGAAAATCTGGAGATGTTATTTGTATGGTGTGTCTTGTGAGGTGTTTACTGATCATCATAGCCTCCAGCACTTGTTCAAACAGAAGGATCTCAATTTGAGGCGGCAGAGATGGTTGGAGCTGCTAAAGGATTATGATATCACTATCTTGTACTATCCGGGAAAGGCCAATGTGGTGGCTGATGCCTTGAGTAGGAAGGCGGTGAGTATGAGAAGTTTGACATATATTCCTGTTGGGGAGAGACCTCTTGCAGTTGATGTCTAGGCCTTGGCCAATCAGTTCATGAGTTTAGATATTTCAGAGCCCGGTTGGGTATTGGCTTGTGTGATTTCTCGGTCTTTCTTATTTGATCGCATCAGAGAGTGCCAATATGATGATCATCATTTGCTTGTCCTTAAGGACAGAGTTCAGTATGACGATGCCAAAGCTGTGGCTATTGGTGATTATGGGGTATTGAGGATGCAAGGCCGGATATGCGTGCCCAATGTGGATGGGCTTCGAGAATTGATCTTGGAGGAGGCCCATAGCTCGCGGTATTCCATCCATCGGGGTGCCGCGAAGATGTATCAGGATTTGAAACAACATTACTAATGGAGAAGGATGAAGAAGGATATTGTGAAATTTGTAGCTCGATGTCTCCATTGTCAGCAGGTGAAATATGAGCATCAGAGACCGGGTGGCTTGCTTCAGCAGATGGATATTCCAAAGTGGAAATGGGAGCGGATCACCATGGATTTTGTAGTTGGACTCCCGCGGACTTTGAAGAAGTTTGATGCTATTTGTATAATTGTGGATCAGCTGACCAAGTCCGTGCACTTCATTCCTGTGTGTACTACCTATTCCTCAGAGCGGTTGGCTAGGATCTATATCCGAGAGATTGTTCGTTTGCATGGCGTTCCAGTTTCCATCATTTCAGATAGAGGTACTCAGTTTACTTTACAGTTTTGGAGAGCGTGCAGAGAGAGTTGGGTATTCAGGTTGAATTGAGCACAACTTTTCACCCTCAGATGGACGGGCAGTCCGAGCACACTATTTAGATATTGGAGGACATGTTGCGTGCTTGTGTCACTGATTTTGGAGGGTCATGGGATCAGTTTCTACCGCTCGCACAATATGCTTACAACAACAGTTACCCGTCAAGTATTCAGATGGCTCCATATGAGGCTTTATATAAGAGATGGTGTAGATCTCCAATTGGATGGTTTGAGCCCAGCGAGGCTATGTTTTTGGGTACAGACTTAGTGCATGATGCTTTAGACAAGGTGAAGGTGATTTAGGAGCGGTTTCATACAGCGCAGTCGAGACAAAAGAGTTATGCTAACAGAAAGGTTCCTGATGTGTCCTACATGGTTGGGGAGAAAGTTCTACTGAAGCTTTCGTCTATGAAGGGCGTTATGGGAATTGGGAAGAAGGACAAATTGATTCTTCGGTTCATTGGGCCTTTTGAGGTGCTTTGGAGGATTGGGGAAGTGGCTTATAACCTTGCTTTGCCACCCAGCTTATCGAGTGTGCATCTGGTATTTCATGTTTCTATGCTCCGGAAGTATATTGGCAATCCGTCTCATGTTTTGGATTTCATCACGGTTCACTTAGATGATAATTTGACTTATGATGTGGAGCCAGTAGCTATTTTGGAGCGCCAGGTTCGAAAGTTGAGTTCAAAGGATATAGCTTCAATGAAAGTGCAGTGGAGAGGTTGGCCCATAGAGGAGGCTACCTATGAGACCGAACAGGAGATACAGGGCAGATATCCTCACCTATTTGAGGCTTCAGGTATGCTTCTTGACTCGTTCGAGGACGAACGTTTGTTTAAGAGGGGAAGGATGTAACGACCCGACCAGTCGTTTCATGAGTAACCGCTCTGTTTCCCCTATTTCTACTTCTTATTGTCTTGTTCAGTTGTATTATGTGATATCGGGTTGGTTGGTTCGGGTTCAGAGAGGTTTTGGAAAGGAATGAGACACTTAGTGTCTTTTGCGTAAGCTTAGGTTGGAAAAGTCAACTGGACATTGACTTATATGAAAAAGGGCTCGGATATGAATTCTGATGGTTCGGTTAGCTTCGGGAGGTAATTTGGGACTTAGGAGTGTGATCGGAATGTGTTTTGGGGGTTCAGAGTAGACTTAGGCTTGAACTGGCGAAATTGGAATTTTGGCATTTTTCGGTTGATAGGGGAGATTTTGATATAGGGGTCAGAATGGAATTCTGGAAGTTAGAGTAGGTCCGTTGTGCTATTTGTGACGTGTGTGCAAAATTTTAGGTCATTCGGAGGTGGCTTGATAGACTTTTTGATCGTTTGCGGAATTTGGAAGTTTTAGAGTTCTTAGGCTTGAATCTGTGGTTAAATTGATGTTTGATGTTGTCTTAGGTGTTTTGAAGATTGGTATAAGTTTGGAAGGTGGTATATGACTTGTTCCTACTTTTGGTTGAGGTCCCGGGGGCTTCAGGGTGATTTTGGATGGTTGACGGGAGGTTTTGAGTTGGAATTGGCAACTGAAGTGCTAAGTTCCTGTTATAACCGCACATGCGGCTTGGGGACCGCAGGTGCGATCCCACAGAAGCGGAAGTGAAGTCCCAGATGTGGCCAAGAGAGGGAAAGGCTGAGCCGCAGAAGCACAACTTTGGGCGCACCTGCGCCATTGATCGAAGCCAACCGTGTACTACTATTAAGTAGCAAGAGAGGTCGAAGTAGCTTTTACCCGAGAAGGTCGGGATCGATTTCCACAGGGAGCTAGATATTGGAGTTGAGTTTCTATCTAAATGGGAGTTGTGTAATTGTTCCTAATTGCACTTCTAACATTGTTTGTTTTAATTTTACTTCTAATTTTATACTACTAGGATGCTAAGTTAGGCTAAGTAAAGCTAAGACTAAACTATTGAAGGTTGTTCAAATAAATAAAAGACATTAGGGTAGTGACTTTCTCCTAGGTGGTTAATTGGTGGATTCTTGAGTCTAAGGCTAGATTATCACATTTGGAGAGTA